ACGGCAAAGAGGGGGCCCGTTAAGTTTTTTTTAAGCAGCTCGTCAGTGGGGCCCCTCCCTCTTTGCCGTCTGCTAGCCGACGGCAAAGAATCTTTGCCGTGAGCTAGCGGACGGCAAAGAACTGGCTGATGGCAAAGGCTTTCTTTGCCATCAGCCAGTTCTTTGCCGTCTGCTTTCGGGTTGCTGATGGCAAAGAGCTTCTTTGCCGTCTGCTAGCAGACGACAAAGAGCTGGCAGATGGCAAAGTAGCTGATTCCAGTAGTGCATGTCTCCGGTCAATAACCAATAGCGGGACCTGGATGCCCATATTGGCTCCTACATATTCTACGAAGATCTTTATCGGTCAGACCGCATAACAACATACGTTGTTCCCTTTGTCATCGGTATGTTACTTGCCCGAGATTTGATCGTCGGTATCTCAATACCCAGTTCAATCTCGTTACCGGAAAGTCTCTTTACTCGTTCCGTAATACATCATCTTGCAACTAACTCATTAGTTGCAATGCTTGCAAGGCTTATGTGATGTGCATTACCGAGAGGGCCCAGAGATACCTCTCCGACAATCGGAGTGACAAATCCTAATCTCGAAATACGCCAACCCAACATGTACCTTTGGAGACACCTGTAGAGCACCTTTATAATCACCCAGTTACGTTGTGACGTTTGGTAGCACACAAAGTGTTCCTCCGGCAAACGGGAGTTGCATAATCTCATAGTCATAGGAACATGTATAAGTCATGAAGAAAGCAATAGCAACATACTAAACGATCGGGTGCTAAGCTAATGGAATGGGTCATGTCAATCAGATCATTCACTTAATGATGTGATCCCGTTAATCAAATAACAACTCTTTGTCCATGGTTAGGAAACATAACCATCTTTGATTAACGATCTAGTCAAGTAGAGGCATACTAGTGACACTCTGTTTGTCTATGTATTCACACATGTATTATGTTTCCGGTTAATACAATTATAGCATGAATAATAAACATTTATCATGAAATAAGGAAATAAATAATAGCTTTATTATTGCCTTTAGGGCATATTTCCTTCAGTATTGACCATATCACATCATGACATGCCCTGCAAAAACAAGTTAGACGTCCTCTACTTTGTTGTTGCAAGTTTTACGTGGCTGCTACGGACTTCTAGCAAGAATTGTTCTTACCAACGAATCAAAACCACAACGGTGATTTATCAAGCTTGCTGTTTTAACCTTCAACAAGGACCGACCGCAGTCAAATTCGATTCAACTAAATTTGGAGAAACAGACACCCGCCAGCCACCTTTATGCAAAACTAGTTGCATGTCTGTCGGCGGAGCCGGTCTCATGAACATGGTCATGTAAGGTTGGTCCGGGCCGCTTCATCCAACAATACCGCCGAATCAAAATAAGACATTGGTGGTAAGAAGTATGACGATCACTGCCCATAACTCTTTGTGTTCTACTCGTGCATATCATCTACACATAGACCTGGCTTGGATGCCACTGTTAGGAAACGTAGCATGCAATTTCAAAAAATTTCCTATGATCTCACAAGATCTATCTTGGATATGCATAGCAACGAGGGGGGAGAGTGTATCTATGTACCCTCGTAGACCGAAAGTGGAAGCATTTGACTGCGCGGTTGATGTAGTCGAACTTCTTCTCGTTCCGACCGATCAAGTAACGAACGTACGGTACCTCCGAGTTCTGCACATGTTCAGCTCGATGACGTCCCTAGAACTCTCGATCCAGCAAAGTGTCGAGGAAGTAGATAAGTTCTGTCAGCACGGCGACATGCTGACGGTGATGGTGAAGTGATCTGTGTAGGGCTCTGCCTAAGCACTATGAAGATATGACCGGAGGCATAAACTGTGGAGGGCGGCGCCGCACACGGCTAACAATTGTTGGTGTGTGTTCTAGGCGCCCCCTCCCCACATATATATTGGTGGGAGGGGGAGGGGAACATCCTTGGGTGCCCCAAGTAGGAGGAATCCTACTTGGGGGCCCTATTCCAATTCGGCCTCCCCCCTTCCTTATTTTCGGAAGGGGGAAGGAAAGAGGGGAGAGGGGGAAGGAAGGGGGAATCCTATTCCCTCTCTTTCCTTTCCTCCTCCCCTTTTCCTTCTCCACTTAAGTCGGCCCATATATGGGCACACCAGCCCCTTGTGGCTGGTGTGTTTCCCCTCTTGGCCCATAAGGCACATATCTTTTGCCGGGGGTGCCCGGAACCCCTTCCGGTGACCCGATATGTAGCTGGCACCCTCAGAACACTTTCGGTGTCCGAATACTATCGTCCTAAATATCAATATTTACCTCTCGACCATTGCGAGACTCCTCGTCATGTCCGTAATCTGATCAGGGACTCTGAACAACATTCAGTCACCAAATCACATAACTCGTATAATAATCGTCATCGAACGTTAAGCGTGCGGACCCTATGGGTTCGAGAACTATGTGACATGGCCGAGACACCACTCCGGTCAATGACCAATAGCAGAACCTGGATGCTCATATTGGCTCCTACATATTCTATGAAGATCTTTATCGGTCGAACCGTTATGACAACATACATTATTCCCTTTGTCCATCAGTATGTTATTTGCTCGAGATTCGATCATCAGTATCTTCATACCTAGTTCAATATCATTACCGGCAAGTCTCTTTACTCGTTCTGTAATACATCATCCCGCAACTAACTCATTAGTCACTTTGCTTGCAAGGCTTCTTATGATGTGTATTACCGATAGGGCCCAGAGATACCTCTCCAATACTCGGAGTGACAAGTCATAATCTCGATCTATGTCAACCCAACAAACACCTTCGGAGATACGTGTAGAGCATCTCTATAATCACCCAGTTACGTTCTGACGTTTGATAGCGCATAAGGTATTCCTCCGGTATCTGGGAGTTGCATAATCTCATAGTCGAAGGAATATGTATTTGACAAGAAGAAAGCAATAGCAATAAAACTGAATGATCAATATGCTAAGCTAACGGATGGGTCATGTCCATCACATCATTCTCCTAATGATGTGATCCCATTCATCAAATGCCAACACATGTCTATGGTTAGGAAACTTAACCATCTTTGATTAATGAGCTAGTCTAGTAGAGGCTTACTAGAGGCATGGTATTTTGTCTATGTATCCACACATGTATCAAGTTTCCGGTTAATACAATTCTAGCATGAATAATAAACATTTGTCGTGAATAAGGAAATATAAAATAACAACTTTATTATTGCCTCTAGGGCATATTTCCTTCACACTGTTACAACAACAATGTGTTCTCGTTACTGCGAGCACCCTTGTTACATTAATAATGCCCACGGTCAAGAAAACGGAACCATCAATAATACATTAGTTGGTCGAGAGGCCCGACTAGGGATATGCTTGTCGTTTATGTTTCAATGAATGCAACTAGGTTTTACTGCAAATCTCACATTCAAGAACCATTGCAATTCTAGCTTAATTATCCATATGGAAGTAGAATAATAACAACTTTGTAATTGCCTCTAGGGCATATTTCAACAAGAGTTTCAAACCCAGTGAGTTGTAATCGATCTAATAGATTATTCGAGGTGTAGAATGGTAAATTACTCCAGATTTCATAAAATTATAAGAGTACAATTATCTCAATGGTCTCATACAAATGTGGCAAACAACATACATGTATGATAGGATAACAAACACCTATTTTACCCTTAATACACAAGGTATCATTACACTTTTGCTATTAGACATTTTATGAATGGTTTTGCCATTTTTGAAACCTTTATAATGACCAAGAAAAGAACCCTATATATAATGACCATTCCAAGTAATATCGCAAGATCGACCCACTTTGAGTAACCTAACTCCACTTGTAAGTTGTTCTTTCGGATATATTGGCCACTAATGTCAATGCCCCCGACAACACCGAAATCTTGGAAGACCAAGCCCAAGAATTCATTTTTGTACAATCCTTGAGTTGTATACTTTTGGTAAGATATGTAGTAAGTTGGGTACTTCCATATTGGTTTTGGGAGGTCATTTGGAAGCCTGAAGAAACCAGCATTTAGCATTAGTAACCCTTGTACTCCAGAACCCATAATTATACCTAGGAGAAAATCGGGCACAATTGCTGCAACAATCATCATCAAACCCTCAACCAACATTGTGCATGTCCATAGAGTGGCAACAAAGAAGAAGAAGTGTTCTATTCCTCTTTCAAATCCAGTTAGGTAATAAGCAATTGCGGCAGGTAGTATAGAGATGAGGCCCAAGTATAGAGTTGATGAAAGTGTGTTGGCTATTACAAATTCAATGGCCCCATAGTGTCCACTCCGCTGCTCTTTCTCAAATATCTTCATTTTCCAAATTATCATGTGATAGAAATCAACAAAAACAAATTAGACTTGTTTTGGAAAGAATAATGATACCCACCTTCATATCCTCTACAAATGATGGAAAACCTCCGATTGCCATCATTGTCATGAAGGTTGATGTGAACATAAGCATAGATGCTCGTGCCTAAAATGGTCGACATACAAGGAGTAGTAAGTCAACCTACTGATACTTACTATTTTCACTTTTTATTTTATAGATTAGAATTTCACTTTTTATTCTATAGATTAGAAATTGACTACTCACTTGGATTGATGCATAATTGTCACCAACATTGAAGAAAATGGTCCCAATGGTTAGAAAAAGTGTGATATTGATAACAAAACGTAACCAATAATAGCCTATGTCTCTGTGCATGTTAACCATTGATCTTTTAGTTAGGACAATTGATTTGGTCCAAAAGGTTGCTTGCCTTCGTTGAAGTACATGGTCACCCTCCTAAAACAAAAACAATGGAGATGCAAAAGCATATAAGTGAGACATATATAATCTCACATACTCAACTCAATACATCAACTTAGTCCATATAAAGAAGAGACCTGCTTAATTGTTTTGCTTGCTTCCATTTCAGTTCCTAAAATAGCAAGAGAGCTAGAAGAAGCTACTAGAGTCTGGATTACTTTTGCAGCATGTGCCAAATTAATAGCTGATTCTTCCTGAGCTTCCTACACAAACATGATGTATATGCCTTTAAGTTTCACTCGAGTTAAATTTGCCATAAAAAACAAAGCCTTGAGAGAGCACCTTCATACCTCAAAGTCTGTGTTTATCATCCTTAAGAAGTGATCAGAAGGATTCCTCCTCAATGGGCATGGGAAGCCATTAGCATCAAAGAACTACAAGTTACCCAAATGAGCATGGATGATTATGTACACACTGTAGAAATAATCTTTCATGAAAAAAAAATATAACCTAGCGATACCTCACACATATCCATGTGAAGGTATCTGGTGTGTACTGACTTTCTACCTCATAAACATGGAGAATATAAATAACAAAAGAAGACTAGAATAATTGCATTAACCGCTAAAATAGAGAAAGATATGTGACTTGTAAGACTGTGTGAATATATTTTACACACGTTTGAACTCCTACAGACATTGGAATTACTTAGAAAGTCTAGGCTATAAGTAATTGAAAGACTCAGCCTTTCATTATGTTTGAAATATTCATAAGAAGTGTTTATTTAGTTACTGGGTGGATTCTTTGTCCACCCCTTTAAGCATGACATCATGGCGAGACTGACAAGGAGATCCAGGTGTGGACCCGAAACTCGATGCCAGGATGTACTTGCTAGTAGCTATGGGTTGCAAGAGTATCCAAGGAATTCTTGCTACAACCGAAAAGTGAGTCACGGATGGATTGGAACTATAGTTGTTTGTGGTATTCGGGTGTCATAGGCAGTTATAAAACCTCTAATGATATTTTTGTTACCACTAGCTTCTGTCCCAAACGGTTTAGCAAACTGTATGTGATAGGAGTTCCCAATGCTCTTGATGTGGTATTTTGTGGTACTGAATTACATTAGGTGCTTTCAAGTCAGAAGTAAATATTTCAAGTGTTTGCTATTTATTGTACAAAGAGACATTTAAGTTGCACTTGCATTTAACAATCGACTGGTATGAAGCTCATTAGTTTTTTAAGTCGTAAGCTCATAGTTTTGTATGCACACTTGTCCTGTGTGCTAAAGAAACTTTCTTAATAATTGTATCTGCTCGGTGTTAATTAGTTTGTTAGACATATAGGTGTCAAATTTGACGTTGGCAGGTCTATACTTTCCGTCATAAGAATCATAATGTTCAATCTGATACACACCTTTTCTATGTAGAAATGATTAGAATGCACATGTTTAGCAAATCAAGAGCATCCTGCCATCGCTATCTTGTTGGAGTATAAATTGTTTTAGCTTGCCAGTTTATCTTAGTTAAAGTGTCAATTAGTCTCTCATGCCCCCAAGCTGTTATTTCTTTCTGCAGTGATTTAACTATGTTTCAATTTTCGTGCAGTGATTTAATGCAATTATATTACTGGCCTATTATATACAAATTTTTTCCCATATGAAACTTCCAAATATTGTAGTCGTGTAAGTGGAGTTGGGGACAACTCTCAAACATGGTGATGTGCAATTTAGAGAATACATACTCAAGAATATTGACGTTCTCGGCAATAGTAATGAGCGATGTGAAACCCGTACTAAATGCTGGATTTTCTATCACCCTCATGAAATTCCGCAGCTTTAGCCTTTATAAAATGGACCACAAAGGAAATATAATGGTTCTAAAAACCTCTACTGTTAGTTTCATGTCATTAATTGGGATATAGATAGTTATCATTTCTTCTTTCCATTAAATGTGTTTATGTAATAGATATGACATTTTACTAGTTGTAATGAGGTCTTTAAGGTCAAAATATTGTTCAAGGAGCAGCATATAGAAAATGTACATTAGCACGCTAGCTAAGCAATATTTTTGTAAGATAGAGGATTTGGATGGCATTTGGACAAAGAAAGAACCCGTATAAGGTACATGGCCACCAAAATATCTCGAGATTTTACCACCCGATGTTTTTCAAATGCATGTAATCAAATTTCAGATTATGATGATGGTGGTGCGGCTATGCTGAATAGCTAAGCACACAACAGTCGTAGAGGTTAAAAGTGGAGATGTCTTTTTTCCTAAATTCTAGGCCAAATTTTATTACTTTTTTCGCACTGAGGGGGAGGGGCGATCAAATTACTACAAAAATGCTAAAAATCTGACATCTGATTTTCAGGCATTGTAAATCGAACGTTTTTCATGGCAATTTATATTGGCGTGAATATGGTAAATTTAGTTTGTAAGCATGGCAATTTCCTGGCAAAAAAATGAGCTAAGATGGATTTATCATGCTCGTCAGCTAAACTTGTCATTCTCCGCGAACATAATTTGCTATGAAAATTGTTTGATTTGCCAGGCCTAAAAATCTGACATTTGCTCGATATTTCGGGTTACTATTGATCTGTTTGGATCGCACCCGGTTCCGCTTGGCTAAATTTTTTGGCGTTGACAGCAGCGAAGGCATCTGTTTGGATGGGGTCTGATTTTTGGCTCGCCCTATATCCTGTGGCTCCTCCCTATTAAGTAACCAATTTTTGGGCAATCCACTGACGGCTGAATTTATCCAAACGGAGCCTATAAGCCCCTGTATTTGCGGTTTGGTTTCTCTATCCTGAGTAATACTGGATATATAAACACTGCGCCATGTGCCTATCACTCGCTCAGAAACATTTGAGGGCATTGGTTATGTTGCAATTCAGGCCACAATATTGCACTAGATATGCTTTCACAAACCATAAGTAAAACTAACACTAATACCAGGACCAATGTTTTCTAGATATGCTTTCACAACACTGAACTAGATATGTTTTCACAACATTGAACTAGATATGTTTTCATAAATCATAAGTAATACTAACACTAATAGCAGGGCCACCAACCATTAAAAACATTAACTGACTGTACACGTACCTCTATTGCCTTGGAAGCTGGCCCAAAATAAACCGCCCTCCCATTGGCCAACAGGCAGAGGCCATGGAAGAGCTCGAACACCTCTGTGCTTGGCTGGTGGATGGCTGCGACGACCGTCGTCCCATTCCTTCTGGCGATCCCGGCGATGCGGCTCATTACGTGGTACGACGCGGCACTATCAAGCCCACTTGTTGGCTCGTCAAGGAAGATGAGCGCCGGCGACGCCAGCAGCTCAATGCAGATGCTCACTCGCTTCCGCTGGCCACCGCTGATGCCCTTGCAAACTTGCCCGCCGATCCGAGTTCCGGCCACCGTGGCGAGCCCCATCTGCCGGATAACATCGTCGGCCCACGACCGCTTCTCAGCCGGCGTCAAGGAGTCCGGCAGCTGAAGCTGTGCCGAGTAGTGCACCGCCTCCGCCACCGTCAACGTCGCCATCAGCACATTTTCTTGGGTCACATACGCCTTCATTTCATGCACGTGATCGGAGGTTGTTAGGGAATTACACGCAAACGTCGAAGTTTAATTACACCTCTATCAATGTCGGGCATGCGAAT